ACCGTGACTAATTTCCTCTACTTCATCTGTTAATGGTTCTAACTAACAGATTCTTATTGTTCATGATTTTGTGGTTCAGCAGTTCTTTATAGTATCATTTGCATCATGAAATCCTGAATCTCTTGAAATATTTTACTTTACAATCCATTTCATTATATTTTCATTATTTTATTTGATATTTATAACATTCTGTAATCAGCAAGAGACCAAGTATTTTTTATAGTAATTCATAGAGATAGATGCTAATACTAACTGGGTAAAGGTGTCAAGTAAGGGTTAATTTTATAAGTGGATAGTTCATTAGTGAACATTTCCTATCTTTGCTTTCCTATATTACCATGTATCTTTGGGGACTGAGGTAATGCTTTGATAATCAAACTCTTGCTGTTTGTAATCAGATGAAAATAAACATTAAAAAGTAAGCAAGTGGTAATGCTTGAAATGGAAATTGGTATCCTCTACAAATGCTTACTGTTGAAGTCAAGTCTGTGGATGAGATACTCCTGGGCAACAAGACCAAGGGTCGAGTCATTGAGAGAATCCTTGTAAAATATAGAAGAGTAACCACATACATCAGAACAGAAGAAAGAGAAAATGGTACTCTGGCAGCTTAGGGCTGTGGGAGGTAAACATTAATGACATAGGAGATGGCCAAGTATATCTAATATCACTGAGAGGTCAAGAAGTTGTGGCTGAGAAGTCATCCATGTTAATACTGAACACCTAACTCCAGTCACAGGCTAAATAGGTAGAACAGAGGCCTTGAGACGTCTAGGCCATATTTCAACTAGAGATTCTGTGAAAACTGTCGCTTTGAAATCTCCAGATATTGGTCTATCCCAATTGAAAGTATCTAGAGTCTTGTGAATTTACACACCTTGCTACCTCCACCTACACTTCTTTGTTTTTCTCGGTCTTTAACAAGGAGACCTTATGCAGGTACTAGACAAGGATGTGATCATTAGCAAGTCAGAAAAGATCACTGAGGAATCAAAACAAGGTTGAGATGACAGAGAAGTTTGGGGCTATGGCATTCTCAAGCACTGTCTGCAGAAGTATGGGGAATCAAATATATTGTCAGCATTGCCCCAAACAAAGGTGCTCTCTCCATGTAACATTAATTATAAAGTTGGACCAAGAATGGCATAAGATTATCTTTTATTAAATCTTTCTGCTAAAATTTTGATGCTTACTTTTCTCTTTTCTCAGGCTTTCCTAAATATTGCTTGATTTGCCTTTTTTTTTTTTTTCAAGTTGCCAAATGATAACAATAAACTACATTTCTGAGTTGTAAAATTTACCCTAGCCACACACTGAAGTCAGTCAGCCTCTTTGGCTGGTTCTTTTTAACCTGCAAGTTGCTTATGACATTAAAGGAGATGACTCCAGCTCTTTATAAAGTTTTAAAAATGTCATCTCTATTTAAAGCCTTCAATCAAATACCTCTAGATGATTATAGAAATGTGTTGGCATGATTTCAAACTCCAGCATTTTCATCAAAATGATCATTAGGCCCCATTCTTGGTCACTTAGAAAGAGATGTAATTAGTACATGGGAGCATTGGAAAGTTTGTTATGCCAATATGGAAAGTGAGGAACAGAAGTTTTTTAATATGTGTGATGTCACTGGACAGGGTAAAAAAGTAAATGATAGAAGGAATCTTAATAGCTCATAGGATCCACTCCTGTATTCATGCTAGAGTCTCTCAGAAAAAAGGAGGGGGGGATGGTGGGATCTTTAATTGCAGCCTATGGGCTCTTACAGAAGAAATTTTTATGGGCTTCAGAAATCTTGGAAGTCAGTAAAATCAAAGGTTAAGGATTGATCTAAAGTGTACCAGAAAACACAACTTTATCAAAGTAAAACTAAAAATTCAAAGGTATTCAGGTACTTTTTTAGTGATACAGTTCTGATTGTCAAATTCTTATAACTGAAAGTATTCCCCTCCATATCTCAGAGCAATAATTACTGACTTTACAGACTGAAGAGAAGTCAGCCTTCAAGGAAAAAAATACAAGATGGTATTTACTTACCAGCAGTCTTAATTTAGTATAATTCTTAGCTACATACGAGGTTTAGCACAGGACACTCGAATGAGAAAAAGGAATGAAAAACTCGGAAAAGGTCCAATTCCAGTTGAAAATAACAGCTTGAGTTATGATGCTTCATGCAGTGGGTTGACTCTGACCTCTATACATTCTCTCTGTTGACAAAATGTTCTTGGAAAAAGTCATAGGTCATGAAGACTTTTGTTCTTAGGTTTTGAACAATGGCCAAAATTCTTATTTAAACAAAAAAAAAAGGAAGTGAAATATTTTGGTAGAGATGTAATTTACCAGTTGTTAATGGAAACATCATTTAAAAGATATCTTAAAATTATATACTGAATATTACACTTCCAGAGTGCAGGGTCACATATCCTGGGATCCACTCTCTACACCAGGTGGGCCATAATACCCTTCTTTCCCAGCCCTGATGAACAGGTGTGCCTGCTGTTTAACCATGCATCTAGAATACCTCTCACTTTAACTTCTTAAATGATATGAAAGAAAATACATGTATATATACATATATATATATATATATGTATATATATATGTTAAAACTACTTAGTAAGGAGTGAAAGACTCAACCAGGAAAAGAAACATTATTTAGATACTATTTATTTGAAATAACATGGTTAGCCACTAGATGTCACCTTTTTTTAAGCAACAAAATTTGCAACAGCAATATCAGTTACATTTCTTTTAGGGTATAAGTTGGCACCATTGGAATTAGCCACTCAGAGGTCATATAAAAGCAGCTTTAACACACAAACAAACAACAACAACCAGGGTTTCCTCTAAGGAGGGCTTCATGAGTCAAGCCTGATTTGTATTTTGTCAGTCTCCAAAGCCATATAGTTAAAATGAAATGCTAGTTAATAAAGTATGATTTTTTAAAAAGTTAAAAGCATGACAAATATAAAATGAATATGCATAAAGATCCCATTCACTCATTAATTAGTGAGGAAGCCAGTAAGGTGTAAGGCTGGTACAAGAGAGAATCAAGGAATGGAAACTTACACAGTGTGTTAAAGGCGTGCTGAAATCAATTTGGTGACAGGCACAAAATGTATAAAGTCTTAAAGGTCAGAAACATAATGTCTAAGGTTATGTTTTGTGCTTGAGAGAGATGATCTCTACTAGGCCGAAGTCTACAACTTAAACATGTAATTTCACAATGAGACAACAAAGTCCTCAGCCTGTATGTGTGGATCACATACAATGCTTTAAGTGGCTGTGCTTAGTGCTTTACACGCATCATCCCATTTAATTCTTACAATAACTGACTACAAGGTAGATGCTGATGCCGTCTTTAGTGAGAGGCTAGAACAGAGATGTCAAGGACCATTCCTCAGGTCATGGACCAGCGAGTGGTCAAGCAGGCATGTGAACCTGGTCTGCCTAGATGGTCTTTCTCCTGGGAAAACAGACTTAACAATGACAGCATCTAGACAATATCGGGCTTCTACAACATGACCCACAGGTGAGCACACGACAACCCCTTCACCCTCTCCTGCTCTCCGCCCATCAAGAACAAATGATTAGGACAAATAATGGTAAAAAAAAAAAAAATCTTGTCTTTACTTTTTTTTTAAAGATCTTTTTATTGATTTTTAGAGAGAGAGGAAGGAAGAGGGAGGGAGAAAAAGAAACATTGATGTGAGAGTGAAACATCGGTTGGCTGCTTCTGCACATCCCCTACTGGGGACCCAGCCCCAGGCATCTGGGAATGGAACCAGCAACCTTTTGGTGCACAGGACAACACCCAACCAACTGAGCTACACTGGCCAGGGCTGGTGAAAGGTATCTCAAGTGCAAGAGACTGATGTTGTAAGCCCTGAGTTTAACTGTTAACACTTGCATTCTCTAGAATTTGTGTAGAATAAGCTTATCACACACCCCTGCCACAGGGAGAAATCTAAGGTACTAACAATCATTAGAGTAGGATATCTACCTGTCTAGAGAAAATGCTCTATTTAATTTTAAAACTTTAAAATCTTGAAGAAATTTAGACATGATTAAATGAACTATAGAAGATTATCTTAAATGTCTAAGATTCATATCCATAGAACCTCAGAATTGCGAGGAGCTCCAAGCTTTATTACTAATTCAGCTTCAACTCTTGAAAAGATTGTAGCACTCAGCCAGTGGCTGGGAAGATTTAGAAAAGTAATCAAATATTATCATGTTACCTATTAAAAGTCTAGACAGTCTCCTGACCACACATGATCTGATACAACTGTGAAAGTGTTATTTTTTCTCCAAGAATATTATTTATTCAGCTCTACTCCAGATAAAAGTAAAAGGAACACTGTGAGTTTCCCAGTCAAATAAAAACGTGTCAATGTGTTGGTGTATCACATTTGCATTTACACTTGCTCTAAAGAATGAAGAAAGTTATATAAAATAAAAAAGCACTGCTTTTTATGTAGTCAGTCTGCTGTTTAGTGTTCAGCTTCTTCATTTTTCATGGGTTATAAAGTCGTTCAGGACAGAAGGTATTCCTTACAAGATCATCATATTATGTTTCTAACTTTAGAGGTAGATGTGATTTTAATAATAAAACACCACGTTTAAGGCTCTATTTTGCACATCTCTGGTTGCCTTTGATTTAATCGTCAATGTGAGAAATCAGAACTTTTCTGAAGTCTAATTTTTGAAAAAAAATTAAGTAGTCTCTTTGCATTAAACCATCTGCTCTACATGATTACAGGGACTCTTCGTTAGCATTGAAGCTTCTCTTTTTGTGATTAAATTTCTTGTTCAACCAATTGAACTCTTTGGAAAGCATTTATTTCTGATAAAGCACATCACTGTTAATACAGTAGTTAAATGATTGTAATCAATCTAGATTCTTAATGGATAGCATCTTAAAGAATTCATGTAAATTTAGCATATTATTAATGCAAATTAATTTATTCATCACCAAAGAAGACTCTAAAGATGGTACTCACGCAGGTTTAATTGTATGGGCATGCTTTTCATGGACAAAGGCACCAGCCAGACCTCCTGCTCCTGAATTTAAATACTGGATTGAAAATAAATTGAATTATATGGGTTTATCTGAATATGACAAAGATAATATGATCAGACCTTTTTTTTGTTAAAAAAACAATTTTGACCAGTTCAAAACATGATTATTTGAGCAACCATAATAAAACAGAATTTTGAGGAACCTTGTTCAAAGAAAAATAAATGAAACATAGAATTTTAATTAAGAAAAGAATAAAAAACCATTATTTTTTTGGTCAAATTTTGTCCCAACTAGTAGATAACAGTTCCACTCAAGTCAATCTAATTTCAAAGCTCATTAATTTCAATTGTCACAAAAATATTTAAGTAATAATAAAAGTATCATATTTTTAAAATATCTAAATTAAAATTGGTTTCATTTCTATGCTCCCTGTCAAATTGTCTTTACATGTCAGTACCAATTTGATTCCATAAGAATTATATTACACATGTAGAAATTTCACAACATATTTTTTTTTAAAAATCCCCCAAACTAAAACCAATCCATTTAAATTAATTTTTAAGTGTGGAGTTTTTTGTTCATTTTTTTCATAACCTCCTGACTTTTATAGCAGCCAGGGAATTGAAGGAATAAGTACTCTATAGTGGATGAAAGCGCCAAAATGTAATTATCATGCTATTCTATTATAAGGCTCTATAATTAACTAAAATCAGCAAATATACTAATAAAAGAAATGGAGAGAGTAATTTGAACAGTTAAAATGGGTCGCCTATCCAGTGTTTTGATTAGGTTAATGTTAATGCAGAATAAAAGGATGTAAATATATTAACCAGTTTGTACCTTATAGGAGCACCAGCAGGCAAAATCTACTCCCCAGTCGTGCAAGTGGAGCTCAACATTTCCAATCGTATGCGCTAGATCAAAGCCAACGAAACAACCCTGGGGGAGAACATGATAACACGTTTTACATTTGCTTAATCATTAGAAATAGCAAGTACAAGTATCTTTAAGAAAATCTTCGACAAACAGCAGTAACATAAATGCGGTTTATCCTTTGGTGCAGTGGCCCACTAAGCGTGAGTCACAAAACCGTGGGCGTTCCCAAAACCCTTTTGGGTCAAAACAGTTTTCATAATAGCAAGACATTTTTTGACTTCTTCACTGGGTTTATATTTGCAATGATAGTGCAGAAAAAGCAGTGATGGGCAAAACTACTGGCACCTTAGCATAAATCAAGGCAATGGCACCAAACTGTACTAGCAGTCATTGCATATCAAAGCCATTCAGTTGCAAGGGGAGGGAAAGAGATAATTTTACTTAAAAATCTCCTTGATAAATCTGTAAAAATGATGAATTTGTATTCAATCTCTAAACCTAAATTTTCATTCTTTAAGGTTTAATGTGGGAAGTGTGCATAAAATATTTGATTACATTCTGAAGTAAGGTGGTTGTCTCAAAGTAATGCACGTATGTGCCTAGTTGAGTTGGAATCTGAACTAGCCACTTTTACTTGATGAAGAACCATATTTCCTCCATGGAAGAGAAACTGATAGACAATAGTAGGAATTGTATGAGTCTCTCAATTCAAGGAAAACAACTCACAGTATTTGTTTCCAATAAAAATAAAAATAAAAAGCTGCTAAGAGAAATTAACACTTTGAAAAACTTGCATTCACTTTTATGAATATGACCACTTCCCAGGATTTAAAGGTATTTCTGTTGAGCTTAGTAATGATATATAATTTTAGAATAGCACATAACGAAATATGTAAGCAATTGGAAAATATTCATAGCTCAGTGAAAATATTCATAGCTCAGTGAACCAAATGACCAACACTCGATGTTACATATCATGGATAAAATATCCATTCAAAATGCAAAATCAACCAATGGATTTTAATGTAACGAAGTACAGAAAATTCAGTAATTCTGTTTCATGTTCCACACTACAACTCCCAAGAAGTTCTCACTTGTCAACTTCTGGTGCAACATGAAAAAATATTCACTATTAAACTACTTCTGCTTTTTCTGAATATATATCTGCATGAGGACTAATTTTCTTATTATTCTTCACAAAGAAAAAAAATAAATAACCAGAAGACTGAATGCAGAAGCAGATGAAAACAAATAACAACAACACAGCTGTCTTCTATTAATCCAAAGAGTAAAGGGATTTGTCAAATATACGACATTACTATTTTTTGCTAAAATATATTTTTAAAAGTATAGGTTTTTCCCAACAATATATAACTTACGTTAATATGTACTTGGGATTGTTGTTACTATTCTAAAATAAATAAATGTATTTTAAAATTGTTTTAGTTACACATATGGTAAATATAAATAGATATAATAATAATATTAAAAAACTTTTTGAGGTCCTCTATGATTTTTTTTTAAAAAGTTTATTTATTTATTTTTTAAAAATATATCTTTATTGATTGCAGAGAGAGGAAGGGAATGGGAGAGAGAGATAGAAATATCAATGGTGAGAGTCACTCATTGATCTGCTGCCTCCTGAAACGCCCCTTACTGGAGATTGAGCCCTGCAACCCAGCATGGGCCCGGACCAGGAATCCAACCTCGATCTCCTGGATCATAGGACAATACTCAACCACTGAGCCATGCTGGCCAGGCAAGGTCCTCTACAATTTTTAAGAATGAAAAAGCTTTGCATTACTAAAGAGTTTGAGAACTGTTGCTGTAGTGTGTCCTACTAAACTGAAAGGATTAAAATAAGTTTTCAATTTATCACTTATTCCCAGATCACGTCCATATTGAGTTTAACCAATTCAAGCATATACATATTGTGATAAATTGCCTTAACAGTTCCAATTTTTTGTCCCTTTTTGTATTCATATCCTTTGCCATGTAACTTTTCAGTTCCTCCCACTGTGGGCAGGGTTCAATTCTCTGCCACTTGGGTCAGCCAGGTGAGTGGTTTTGCCCACGGGGATGTTAGCACATGGAATACAAGCAGAATCCCTACAGCACGTGAGTGGCTGGGCTTGCTCTCTCTTGCCTTCTGCCATCTCTGTGGGAAGGACTAGCTTGGGCCACCCTGCTGGCCCAAATGAAAGATGAAAAAAATGTCGATCAGAATCATTCTTAGTAAGCCCAGCCTGGATCTGCTGGTCTCCTCACTCTCCCTTATTTAGCTAAAGAAACGTGAGTGAGCTCAGCTGACACTAGCGGGATTCCTGAGATCAAGTCCTGCCTCAATCAGCTGACACAAAGGTGACTGTAGGGGTTGAAAAGAAAGGTGACTGTAGGGGTTGAAAAGGAGTCCCCCCAAGATGTGCCTCAGTGGTATGCAAATTACTTTGAGCTAAGGACAACTTAAGCAGTAGGCTCAAGAGAAACTTCTGCCCCTTCTCTTAATTACCTAAAAAAGCAAATTGAATTAGGAGTTTTGGCCATAATAAGAGATGATCAGAGATAACTTCTTTTGACCCACCAATAGGGCAGAACAAACTTCTATTTACTAAACACCTGTTCTTCTTGCCGTCCTGCAATGATCCATTGAAGCTTCCCAGGTGCATTACTGTATCCCTAGACCAGGACATCTCATGTACCCATGTTCCCTTCCTATCTCTGAGCCAACTCTGCATGTATCTCTCATGGAAGCAGGGTTCCCATACATATGTATGTATTAATTTTGGTTATTTTCTCTTACTAATCTGTCTCATGTTTATTTGATTATTAATCCAGAGGAAATGTTGTTCCTCACCCACTCAGCCCATAAACATAATGATGTTTTTGACTCTACACAGTGTCCTCCTTATATCTGAACCCTTAACAGCTTCTTATTGTCTGACATTATTCTGTCTTGTTATTTACTTGCATGACTTCAAGTGTTTTGTATGTCTGCCTAGTAGAAGTCAACGTTTTAGAAGCAAATCCTTCCAGAAGGACAGCTTGGGTTAGTGAATTTATATTATCCAAACTGTACCCAAGTAATAACTTTCTAATTCAGTGGCTATCAAAACCACTTAGCTTTCTGCATATCAAAATCCTAAGTTTTACTTAGAGAATATAGTGATTCATTCCACACTAAGACAACTTTGTACCTGAACATGAATTAAAAAGAAAAAAACAGCTGATTATTAAATGGGTGTGACAGTTTACTTTGCAAAAAATGTTTTACCTCTCAATTCTTCCATTGTTAGTTTACTACATGCACATATAATATAACATTCTCAAAACTTTAAATTTCCTGCAACTTTGAAAAAACATCTGTCAATCAAGGTTTTTGAAGGAAATAATTGCAGAGGGATCAATTTTAGATTGTTCTAAATCTTCTTAAGAATAAGTAAACCCAAACTGCAATTATAGGTGCTCTCCCTAGAGGAGAGTTTGCAAACTATGACCTATTTTTAATAAATAAAGTTATATTTGAGCACAACCCTCTCATTTGTTTCAATATTGTCTATGGCTGCTTTTGCATATGAATTGAGTAGTTGCAAAGAGACCATATGGCTGACAAAATCTAAAATATTTACTATCCCACCTGCTGCAGAAAAGATTTTCTGATCCTTATCCTAGAGCTTAGTTTCTATTTTAAAAAACACACCTCAATATATTGAAGAATCAGTTAATTATAAACCTTGCTCATTATAATGTGGACAAAACTAGCATCTCAGAAAAAGTTTTTACTGGTAAAATATAACTAATTTTTAGGGGGGTTATTTGGGCTTTGTTTTTCACAAAATAAGCAATACATATAAAAATACAACAGATGCTCCATTTTAACATAAGATTTAGGAGTGATAGAAAAGAAATACATTTATTTTCTATCAAGATTTAGAGGTTTTTCAAGGCCTGGCTTTGCAGACTAACATTTTATTACAACTCAACTTTTCATAGATACGATTTTACAACTCAGTTTTTATTAGAAAACTCAAGAAATAGAAATCTCAGCACTTTTATTTTATTATCAATTATTTATAAAGAATGGCACAATGAGGAAGCCAGGAAACTTCCCCAACCTCTTCTAGTTATTAAAAGCCCTGTGGTTACATCTGTGACACCACATTAAAAAAAACCACCACTTATGGCTCCTATAATATGTTCTAATGCATGTACAATTCTTTCCCCATAGGTGGCATAAAACATAAATTATTAAAATATAACCCATTTTGATTAAAAGACTAGAAGATACAAACTTAAATGAGATTACCACAAAGTGATTTTACAGAAGTCTCACTAGATGGCAGCATCATAAAAATAAAGAACTCACAGTTCCCTAAAACCTCTCTACAGCTATCCAGTTAATATTTTTATTATATTACTTCAAAGAGCAATTAAAACAATATGAATTGGTGAAAACATAAACTCCACACTTGAGTACCTACTTCATGTACATTTTTAAATACACAATTAAAAAAAAATAGATTCTATTGAAATTACCCACAGGGCTCACACTTCGTATTGAGACAATCACATAGAAACATAGCAATGTTCAGCCACCTTGCTCTATCGTGAGTCCTCAGACTGTTGCAGTAGTCTTCTGATCACTCCAGCTACTTACAGCTGCTTTCCTCTCAGGAGCTTGCTAACTCACCCATTTGATTGTAAGATTCGCAGTGTCCAGTCAAAGAACACCCCATTAACTTCACATTTTCTTTGGTATGGCTTTTAAATACATTTATGACTGGTCCTTTCCAACTCTCCTCTCTGGGGTGTCCCATACCTCCCTCTATGTGCATAAACCTTTCTCTGTTGCTAGGGTTATTCCTCTGTCTGAGTAGCTCAGATTTTGATCACAATATAACTTTTATGGAAGGATTCCTTGGCCAAACTCTCTCTCCTCTCTCATCTTACAATCCTGTTTGCACAGATATCTTGTAGCAATTTTCCAATTAATTTTCTACTATTTTTACACAATATAAACCCAAACCATTTTTGAATAAATATACGAATGAACAAATAATAAAATC